CCTTTTGGGAAATGTGTACAGTAGAAATGCCACCTTTGGTTAAGTTTCCACCAATTTTTCTTCTAATTTCTTTATAACTGTAGCCTTGTTCACTTAATAATACTATTTTACATAGCTTTCTGGGCAACCAGTCAACTCTTTGCACCATTACTTTAATTTTATTACATTTTATAAGCTCACTAAATGAAAGAATACAAAAAAACCCAACCAACTTGATAGCGATCACATAACACACTGACAAATGTCCTCCTCTCAGCTGCAATACATGACATCATTAACTGAATCCTACTGTGATCTGATTGGCTCATTGACAAAACAAGATGATGAACCTGCTGCCCACTGCCCCACCAGCCAGAGACTCCCTGGATCTCCCTCAACCCTGCCCGGCTCCCACAGGCATCCCTCCTCAGGAGCAACATTGAGGTGGCCACGCCTTCCTGGCCACGCCCACCCATGCTGCCATGACCACCGTAGCCACACCCACCCAGTGGGCCACATCCATCTACACTGCCATGACTACCATAGCCATGCCCACCCGTGTGCCATGCCCATCCGGCACCCGGCAATACATAAGTGGGTTTTGGGTTGCAGTTTGGGCACTCGGTCTCTAAAAGGTTCGCCATCACTGCCCTAGATCAATGGATAACCTCTTTGCAGAATGTTTGGGCAAACATAAAAAAAGTTTAGCTCAAGCCGCTAAAACCTATAAAGACAATAAGAAGCGATCTCCCCAGAGGCCATTTCATATGGAGGAGAAGGTTTATCTCTCTACTAAATACTGAAGACTAAAATTACCTAGTCAAAAAATGGGACTTAAGTTTCTTGGTCCTTTTTCTATAGTCAGAATCATAAATCCTGTCACAATTGAGTTAAAGCTCTCACGGCTTTTAGGAAAAGTTCACTCCATTTTCCATTGTAGCTTGTTAAAGCCAGTCACAGAGTCATCTTGAGACCCAAGAAGGCGCCTGGTCCCATTCTAATAGAGGGAGAAACTCACTATGAGATAAAACACATTCTTGACTCTAGACTGTATAAAGGAAAATTACAATATTTAGTGCAGTGGAAAGGTTACCCCTTGTTAGAAGCTAGCTGGGTGAAAAGTACTGATGCGAAGGCAGACAGGTTAATATGAAGGTTTTATGACAAGCATTCTCAGAAACCCGGGGGGGGGGGATTCCTAACTTCTTTGTTTCCACTGCAGGAATTGCTTTCTTCTTAGGGGATCCGACTGTCAACTCTACAACGAAACAATTCTGTGTCCCGTGGAAACTAAGGTCATTCTATAGGTTATGTTAGAAGGTTGGGTGTTTTATTAGAAAGCCCAGCAAGCCATTTTATTAGGGAACATGGATGATTGCATAGCACAGGGCTGTGAAGTTTGACTTTGTAATAGTGTAACTCTTTGGAGGGAATTTCAGACTTGGTTTCACTTTTGATCATGCCAATATTTTGTATCCAAAAAAACATGTTCTTTGAGCAAGCTTCTAACCTTGGAGTTCTGATTTATTTGGTTCTATCTATTGGAACCATGACAAGTAGTTATTCAAGTTGTTTTTCCTTTTTTATTGCAACTCTCACCTAATCGTTAAAACCCTTTTTAATTTGTTGCTAGGAATTCCTATTTACCATAATCATGTCTGATTTCACCAGATGGGATAGAATGTAGTAAAGTGTCACAAAATGTATATGTGTGTGTGTGTGACTTTCCAGAGGAAAAAAGATGCAGCTTTGCATGATTTTTGTTATATAGGAAGAGGATCAAGTCCCCCCACAAACTTCCAAAGAGTTTATCCATTAGTTACACAGAATTGTGCTTTAGTCTGATTAGACTATCTGTAAGTGAGCAACAATACATAAACTGCACTGGAATCATTCCTCAGGTCACTCTTGGTTCCTTGTACCTGCCACTTCATTCTTTGCTAGTTAACCTAAATCAGTGGTTATTCCTATTAATAACCCAATAGTGCAGTTTAGTGTAAATGGAAGTGTGAAATGGAGAAAAGGATGAAAATGCAGAGTGCCTTTTTTAAACAACCACTTTGGCACCATTATTAAATAGCAGCATTATTGTTTTAACTAGTAATGTTTGCAAGAGATTGGTGTTATTACAATATATTAATGTTAATACATAGAGTATTGTACAGGATCATATCCTTCCTCTGTTCTGCCATGGTACTGACACCACCTAGATGCTGCTAATACTGGTAGTAGAAATAGTAGCGGTTATAGTATTTTAAAGAAATGGTTGAAAGTAGTAGAAAGTCCAGAAGTTCACACTAATTTTTCAGAACCAGATTGAAATTCTAAAAGATTGGGTTTGGAATTATAAATTATTTATCAATTCCATACTCCCGTTGTCATTTCTGATTCCTTTTGAAGTTCTTTGCTTCCATAGCATATTTTTCATAAGGCATTTGATGCAGCTTTTTAAGAAACACAATATCCAAAGCAACCTTTCATAACTTAAGGCACCCTCCAAATGGACAAACCACTTCATTCTCCGGTTTCTCAGCATGGATTTTGCTTGCTGAGTAGCTGCCACTTTAAACCCACATTTCTGGAAGGTTCTCTGATTAGAATCTTCTAAAGCACTATTAAGTGCATAAAATCCACTGGATGATTTTTTTAAAAATGCTACATTCGTTGTTTTGGAAGACTAGGGCATAGCTGAGTAAATACAGTTTGGATATTCTTATAAGCCTTTAAGAGGCAGAATTTAAGTTTTGAAAAACTAAAAGCTTATTTTCAGGATGAGGCAATTGCAAAGCTACAGAATGCCGCCACCTTCTGTTTAAAGGGTGACAATCTTACAGTGTTTAATTTCATGATGCGGAAGGGTTCTAGGAAATAAACTTGTAACTTCACAAAAGGCTCCTTGATATCTCAGGTCTACAATTAATAGGATAAGACACTTACTTATTTAGTGTATGGCTATGTTACATTAGCACCACAGGGAGTGGACTAGCTCCACACTCAGAAAGGCTCAAAAGCATTCTGCATCATCATCCAAGGCTTCTCCTTCCACCTGTTGCATTACGCTCTGGCATCACATTGGAGATCTGGCACACTACAAAATGCCATTATTTTCTGATCAAAGTGGTATCTATTTATCTATTTACATGTGGCATGCTTTTGAACTGCTAGGTGGGAGAAGTTGAGGCAAATGACAGGAGCTCATTCACCCACGTGAACTGACGGAGTAAAGACCATCTCCAGTTCTTTAAGCCAGAATCACTGTGCCTCCTACTTATTTAGTGGAAGAAGAAACACTTAACTATTTTTTTGCTACTGAAATTTGTGCAATACGATGTTGTAGAGGTGACTAACATGTATAATTGATATGATATTAAAAGAGTTTTTAAGATCATTCCATTTTGAAAATGTATCCCTTCAAGAACTATAACCACAAAATACAGGGCAGATGCTTAACATCACTTAGTAAAATTGCAGAAAGTATATCCAGGTGCTAGAAGTGATTCACAAGTATTTCTTTTTCTGTCAGCAAACTTTTCAGCATTGGCCCTTTGGTTTTGTCACTGTTATTTCTAGTTTTAATTCAAAATGAATGTCTTTAGCTTTGATGATTCTTAAAATGTTCACTTCACTCTTAATGTCTGAAACCCACCTTGCTAAAAGAAAGTTTGGTTTTGCCTGCATTTGGAGTGTCCTCATACAATTCCGGGGGGGGGGGGGAGAGGATAATGATTAAAATGGATATTCTTTCATTTACCACCCATTTCAATATGATTTAGAATAAACTGCTTTCCCAATAATGGCAGAGGATTTGTGGAAGTGTCAAAAATAACAGTGGTTATAGTTCACTTGTAGATGTTTGGTATAATAATTCATCTAGTCTAGAAGTATTTTCTTTAAAATATATATAAGATATTCACTTATGCACTAACATCTACAATATTAGATTCTCAGTTTTTCAGGATAATTTTCTTCTTTCTGAAAGTAATTCTGAAATTTATATTCAGAACTTGTCTTAACAAACTGAAAAACTGGACATAATTTGGTTCCTAAACAACTCTTTTTCCAATCATTTATCACTATTTTTTTTCAAAGCGTAAAAATAATGACCAAAATAGTGAATGGAAAGACAAGAGGACAAGATTTGATTATTGAAAAAAAATACCTGTTAGTGTTGGTTATGTTTCAAAACAACTCATCACAAACTCAGTTTGATTTTAAAGTATAGTACTTTTCTTATCAACAGTTGTTTAATGACCATTTAAAGTTACAATGGCCTTGGAAAGGGTACTTTACAGCCTTTAAAGCAATTCTGACTATTGGAAACTTGGTCATATTATTACATTTCAGGTGCTTGGCCACAGGGTCATATTTATGACTAGTTGCCAAGTGCTCCATGATCATGTAATTGCCATTTGCAACCTTCTCTGCCAGATTTTTCCAGAAAATCAATTGGGAAGCTAGCAGGGAAGATTAAGATTGCAAATAGAGATGGAGAGGAAATTCCAGCAACATCACAAAGGATTTCCCTTCTATGCATGGAAAGGAGTGGAAATCCTTTGGAGAGCTGCCTGTTGGGTTTCATATTTGTGCAGATCTGAAACTCTGCAGCAGGCAGAGTTGGGAGCATTTCAGCTAGACAGAATTGAAATTCTCTGGCAGGCAGCTTTTTTGTTCCATCTGCTTAATGACCCAGGAGATCACTTAACTGCAATTGGAAGTGCTGAGATTGTGGTCTTTGAGTGAAATTGTCATGTGATGTCTCGCTTAATGACCGCTTTGCTCAAGGACTGAGGTTCTAATTGGGCTTGTAAGGTATATTTCTCAGCCATTTATCTCACAGATTTGTTGTGGAGAAAATAGGAGGAGGAAGTAGTATTAGGTATGTTTGCCGCCTTCAGTTATTTATAAAAATAATAAAGGAGGGATTTAAATAAAATAAAATAAGTATAAAAGGCAAGGTAAAATAGTACCAGTATTTAAAATAATTTCATTTTTCAACTAACAAAATCCTTCAACCTCAAGTATGTTACATCACAACATTGTTTATTATGTGACTTTTTACAATACAACAAAAATACAGAAATGCAGTATATGAATACAGCTAAATGTAGAATGGTGACTTTTCTCAAAAGGCCATGATTCTCATTTCTAGAAGACTGACTGCACGCAGATAGAAACAGATGGTGCTTAAATCCACACAGTTTTCTAGAAATGACTTATAAATGCATTTTCCTGCTACTTACCATAATATGTAAAAGAAGAATTAAAGAAAATGTTTTATTCACTGGTTCCTATCATATGAAAAAAAAACCTACATTCTATGTAGCAGGGCCCATACATGGAAATATATCTAAATTATATGTTATTACAAAAATGAAGCAGTAATGAAATCCATCGGGCTAAAGCAATTACTAAATGAGAATAGCATACATTTAACAAATCCCAAACAAACAAAAGATTGTTATAAAAAGCTTTTAGGTGCCCCATAAGCCTATAAGTTTGTCTTTCCATGTCTATTTTTAAAACAATGGAAGTGTCAAAAATAGGGTCAACTGTGTTAGACTAGATTACATTGTTATATATGACCTACTGAATGGAATTTTATATAATAGACGCATAGTTCATATTATATTATGGCAATGTATCCTTATGGAAAATTTTCCCAAATCCTTATATATTGGAATATTCTGTAAACAAATCAAACCACCAGAATATGATTGTACAACAGAAAATTTCTTTACATTTAAATGATTTATCTTTTTTTGTATTTTGTAAAAAAAAAAAAAGTACTTAGAGCTGTTTTCCTAAGCTTACAACATTCTAAACAATTCAAGGCATTCTCAAATGCCATCAAAATTAACACAAAAACTTGTCATGCTGATAAATCCAAACATATGGATACAACCGGTGCAAGATTGGTCAAACAGATCCAAGACACACTGATGTCCAAGGGTAGAATATTGGCAATTAAACATAACTGGTGGTCTGCAAATATCTTTAAAATATCTTCCCTTTCTTTTTGTTTTTTTCCAAAGTTCTGGAAGAGAAAAAAGAACTAGTCAGATATATTAGACACAGTATATATTATAATCAATATTCTCTTTGTATTGTTATACTATCTTATACATAAAATATTTCCTTTCCCAAAACTTATGTTCTGAAAAGCTGTCAATACTGAACATTATGCAAATATAGTGTGAAGTGATACCGTTTTTGCCTAATAGTTTATAAAGGTACAGACTGATAACAATAACAGTTATAAGAGAAAAAATGGTCATAAATTGTATAGATTATGGCAGCAAACATAAAGAGGCTGATATGGTTCCAATCTTCAAGAAGGGGGAAAAACAGATTCAGGAAACTACAGACCAATCAGCTGACATAATACCTGGGAAAATCCTGGAAAAGATAATGAAGCATTTGTGAGCACCTAGAAACGAGCAAAACCATTACTAGAAGCCAGCGTGGGTTTATCAAAAACAGATTGTGTCAAACAAACCTTATTGCATCCTTTGACAAAAGTGGTTAAATTAGTGCAGGGGTAGTCAACCTTTTTATACCTACCGCCCACTTTTGTATTTCTGTTAGTAGTAAAATTTTCTAACCGCCCACCGGTTCCACAGTAATGGTGATTTATAAAGTAGGGAAGTAACTTTACTTTATAAAATTTATAAAGCAGAGTTACAGCAAGTTAAAGCATATAATAATAATTACTTACCAAATACTTTATGTCGGACTTTTGCTATGTTTGGCAGAATAAATCTTTATAAAACAACTTACTGTAGTTAAATCTATCTTTTTATTTATACTTTGCATACATAGAAGCATGAAGTCTGATGAAATTACATTTAATTAATTAAATTATTAATGAGATCCCTGAGGCTGATGCTGCGAAACTATATACTGGATATCTGGCTCAATTTTTGTAAGGAACAAACGAAGGTCTCCTCTTTCGGAAATATTCAGGCGGTTTCTTTCTTTGGTCATAATATGATTAACAGCACTAAAGCCTGATTCCATAAGATATGAGGTAGGGAAAGGTATCAATAAACTGAATATCATTTTCCACATATTTGGATATAAGACAGGCATTTTTTTTACTTTGCCATAGGTTTTCATATCCACCACTATCAAATTTATGTTTACTTTCTTCATCATATCTAATTTCTAACAGTTCTTCTTGGCAAGTTGTATCAGCCTCTTCAATATTTGCGGTAAA